TGCAGCTGAGAACAGTGTCCATTCCGATGTTGTCAAGTGGAACACTCTGTAAACATCCACTAAGTCCATTTGTTCACAAGTTTTGCTCAGCTCTGTTATTTTTTTGCTAATTTTTAGTCCAGTTTACTTATCTCTTTGTGTAAATGGGGTGTTAAGATCTCCACGTTACAATAGTGTCATTAGTTATTTGATTTTTCATACCTATTAAGATTTGTCTTATATAGTTGAGTGCTCCCATATTTGGTGCATACATACTATGATTGTTATCTCTTCCTCTTGCAGTTTTCCCCTAACAAGTATGTAGGTACATTCTTTGTCTCTTTTGATTGTTCTCTGTTTGAAGTTCACATTGTCTGCAAACAGAATAGCTACCCCTGTTTTCTCTGGATTCCTGTCACATGGAGTATTACTTTCCAACCTTTGATTTTCAGTCTATGAATTTCCTTTTGAGTTAAATGTGTTTCTTGTATAGAGCATATTGCTGGATTTTCTTTCTTGATCCTCTCTGCCAGTCTGCTTCTTTTGATTGTTGACTTAAGGCCATTTTCATTAATGGTTATAACTGATGGTTGGCTTATCTTTGTCATGTTGTTTCCTTGCTACTGTTTCCTACTTTTACTCTCTGTTTAATTGTTTTCCTGCTTGGTGGCTCTTTTTTATTGTTATTCTTGAAATTGCAGTTATCTTTCTGTCTTTCTAGAATATCTTTCAGTACTCTTTGTAGAGTTTGGCGCTCATGAAGTTTTTCAGTTGTTCTTTGTCATGGAAACATTTTATTTCTCCATTAAATTTGAAGGATGGTTTTGCAGGATACATCAATCTGGGTTGGAAGTCATTTTGTTTTAGGATTTGGAATACTTCACTCCAAGTTCTTCTTGATTTGATGGCTTGTGTTGAGAAATCTGACATGATCTGATGGGCTTTTTAAAATAGGTGATCTGTTTCTTTTCTCTAACACCTTTTAATATTCTGTGTTTTTTTTTTTTTTGCTGGATCTTGACTATTATATATCTGGGTGTAGTTTATTTTGGTTAAGGCTAGTTGAAGTTCTATATGCCTCACTTACTGTATGTTAGATTCTTTTCCCATGCTTGGGAACTTTTCTGCTATTACTTCTGCAAAGAGTCTCTTTATGTCATTTGTATTGCCTCCTGCTGTTTCATTGACACCTGTTTGTCTTACATTATTTCCCTTTGCATTATCTTTCAGCTGTTGAATTGATATTTCATGGTTCCTTGTTAATTTTAAGAGATCCTTCCTTTTGCAATCATTAGCTACAATGCTCTCTTCAAGGTCTGAAATTCTATCTTTGGCTTCATTCAAGCGGTTTTGCCAGCTTTCAATGGGAGATTTGATTTTCTTGATATCTCTTTGAATCTGTTTCATACATTCTAGTTCTTTCCTATGTTGTTCATTTAATGTTTCCATCATTTTTCCATGCTTGTCTAGTTTTTTATGTCTTCTTTAGATATGTTGAGCAATTCTTTCATTATTGTTGTCTTTTCATTTTTTAACTGAAAGATTATTTCTGATCTGATTTCTCCTATGGCCTGATAGAGTTGTTTCTTTACTTCAGTTGAAATCATTTCAGAGATTTCAGGTATGTGATTACCAAGTTCTCCTAGGCTGATGTCTGTTGGACTTGTTCTGGGAGGGATGGTGTTCTGAGATTGCAGTTCTTTGTCTTGTCATTTTTGATACTGGAGGCAAAGTGCCCAGTCTCACCCTTCCCTGGCAGCTCACCAAAGATCCCTAGCCTCCCTAGTTTTACTGGGTGTCAGACTTACCCCACAATGGTGGTGGAGATGGGCTGCCAAGTCTGGGTTCACCAGGCAGTTGATGGAGTGTACTCAGTTCTCCCAGGGCTTAAACATGAATTGTGATAGCAGCAGAACAGGAAACATCTGGTCTGAGGTCCCCAGGCAGTTGATGGAGCCCACGGGGTCCACATGACAGCCACAGTGGTGGTGGAATGCAGACTTCCTGGTCCAAAGTCTCCAGGAAGCTGAAGGTACACACTGGGCCCAGACATGAATCATGGTGGGAGTGGGAAATGGGCTGCAGTGTCTGGGGTGCCCAGGAGGCTGCTAGAGCCTGTAGACCCAGCAGCGAACCACGGGGCCAGCAGAATATGGACTACCTGTTCCAGTGTCCTCAGGCAGGTAAAGGCACATGCAGGGCCCAGATGCAGATTGCAATGGCAGTGGAAGCACAGGCCCCCTGGTCTATTGTCCCCAGGAAGTTGATGGAGTGTTCCTGTCTCTAATACAGATTTTTGAGGTGCTTATAAATGAAGTGCTTCATGAAGAAATACAAATGGCAGATAAATACATGAAAAAATATTCAACATCTTTAGTCATTTGAGAAATGTACATTAAAACAACACTGAGATTTCATCTCACTCCAGAAAGAATGGCTATCATTAAGATATCAACCAGTAGCAAATGCTGGAGGGGCTGTGGGGAAAAGGAACTCTTCTCCACTGTTGGTGGGAGTGTAGACTAGTGCAACCCCTGTGGAAATCAGTCTGGAGATTCCTTAGTAAACTAGGATTAGAGGTCCCATTCAACCCAGCTATTCCCTGTCTGGGTATTTTTCCAAAAGAACTGAAAACATCATACCACAGTGATATATGTGCATCCATGTTTATAGCAGCACAATTTGTAATAGCTAAATCTTGGAAGCAATGCAAATGTCCATCAACTGAGGAATGGATAGAAAAGCTGTGGTATTTTTATATAATGGAATATTACTCAGCTATAAAAGAAGATAAACTAGAGGCTTTTATATGTAAATGGATGCAACTAGAGACCATACTCATTAGTGAAATAAATCAGATTCACATGTGTAAACATCATAGTTCCTCCCTACTATAAGAACCTGAAAGAATAAATAAAATCTGGAAGGTACAATAGATATTGTGAAAGGGAAAAGAAACTGCTCAAATAGGAAGGAGCAACTGGGACAAAGGAGGGAAGAGGAAAAAGAAAGAAGAAAGAGGGGAAAATATGTATATGTATACACAGGATAGCTACAATTGTACTACTAATGTCTGTTGGTTTGTCAAAAGGAACAGTAAATGTGCAATTGTTTGGTCAATCTTGCATGCCTATATCTGGTTATATGTGCAACCAGTTTGAAGATCACATTCTGTAATATAACAACCACTGTTAATATCCTATCACTATGTTTTGAAATGCTGTATTATTGTTCTGTATGCTGTTTAATTTATATGTTTGTTTTTGTCATTTTGGGTTTCTTTTTAAATCAAAAACAAAATTTATATGTATATATAAGTATAGCTGGAATAAGTATATTGCTGATGTCTGTGATTTATTGAAAGGAACAGTCTACACTTAAAATTTTATTTTTTCTTGACCAATTTTTCACACTTGAATTTTTCTTTTCTTTTTTTTTTATTTTAGAAATAAAAGGAGGAAAATACTAACAGGTCGACAACGTTTTACAAAATAGCAAAGGATCAGTACAGACATTACAGAGTTACAAACAGAGTGGTAGGGAATTAACAATACAATAAGCATTGTTAATACACTTGAATTTGATAATCAGAATGACTGATCTGAAAACAACAACATGCAGTAGAAGAACCATTGCTGAACTCCTACCATCTTATATGGTGAATCTCTGCATCATTTCGAATTTTTTTTGTATTACTTGTTACTGTCTTTGATTTTTTTTATCAGTCTTACATTCTTATGTCTGGTGGACTGAATAGCTTTGTTGAAGATAGCAGTATGTAATGTAGCAACCATTAAGTGCTATCATTTTGTTTTGAGGTCATGTATTGTTTTTGTTGTTTTTGTGTTGTTTTGATTTTGTCTTCATTGTTGTTTTGTTAGTTTTTTTCATTTTTAAAATAAAAAGTTTTACAGAATAAATGAGGTGCTGGATGAAGAAAGCCTAAAAATGTGGAAGTGGCCTTGAAAAGTGAGTATTGAGTAGAAGCGAGAACAGTTAATGAAGATAACTGTCTTAAAGAGGCTGTGGGTAGCAAGAATGATATTAAAGGCAACTCGTGAGATCTCAGATGGAAAAATGGATCATATTACTGGAAAGATGTTATTTAAACAATTAATTAAAAGGGAAACAAATTTAACAGACTTATGTTCTAGTGATTTGGGAAAGGTAGAGCTTTTGAACAATAACCTTGGCTGTTTAAACAAAGATTTAAGCAGAAGTACAACCTGGATTCTTCCTATTGCTTATGGTAAAGTGTGATAGGAGGAGAAGAACTTAAAGAAATCATTAAGTAAAAAAAGAGGTGATGAGGATTTGGAAAAGTCTCAGCCTGTCCATATTATAAAAACTCAGGAAGACTACTCTGTTGAGAATAGCAAGAGTAAAGGGAGAAACTCAATTCATGGAGAGGTTATCCATGGTCTAAATGGGGCACCTTTTCAAAGGCCAGGACTAGAGATTGGATTACGCCAGCAGAGGCATTATCAGTTTGGATCAAATGGGAAAGACATGGAATAAAAAAAATTTTTTAAATACATTATTTGAATTCTTGGGTTTTTATCTTGGAAAAATAAGGGTATTTGTCTATAAGTATGGCTTATCCTTTAAGAAAAGATAAAGCTGACCACAGGCATGATTCACAGTTCATCAGTTTCTAAACAAAAGACTTTTCACTCAGTTTCAGGGCATGGGACCAGTTACTCAGCTTTCATGTCCCATATGCTCCAAGCCAGCACCTGTGGAGCAGGGAAACTAAGAAATGCTGAACAGATTAGGCTATTACCCAGGGCTCTGAAGGCAAACCTGCCATTCCAGCGGCCCTGAAGTGCAGTGTGACTAGAAAGGGAGGCTTATCATCAAGCCTTAAAATCTGGTAGAATTTGCCTCGCAAGGTTTTGAACTTGGTTGGGACCCACCACTCCTTCCTTCCTATTTATTTCTCTCTTTGGCAATAGTGATGTCTATTCTATGCCTGTCTTATTTTTGTATTGCAGAAGCAAAAATTGTGTCTTCTTTTATAGGTTCACAGCTGGAGAATATTTTTCCTTGGAATGAATTGTACCTCGACTCTCATCCATACCTGATTTAGGTGAGATTTGGACTTTAAAACTGATGCTGCGATGAGACTTTTTAGGACTGTTGACATGGGGTAAGTAAACTTTACTTGAGAGGAAAACATGAGTCTTTGGGAGCTAGATGCAATAATGGTACAGGTTGACCTATGTGCCTTCCAAACCTGAAGCTGAAGGCATCATCCCTAATGTAACTCTGTTTGGAGATAGGTTCTTCACAGATGGGATGAAAGTTAAATGAAGTTATGAGAACAACATCTTAAGACATGTATTGGTGTTTTTATAAGAAGACATGACAGAGGTCTCTCTGTATACATGCTTTGAGGAATAGTGGTATGAGAAGGCATAGAAAGAAGGTTGTTTTCTACAAGCCAGGAAAAGAACCCTTAATAGAAACCTGACTTTTCAGCGCTTTGATAGTATATTATATGACTTAAAATAAAAGAAATGTATTTATTTTATAGTTCTGGGTGATAGAAATCTGCAAGCAATATCTCAATGGAGCCATTCTCTCTTTGAAGTTTCCCTAGGTTCTGCTGGTTGCTGACAGTCCTAGACATCCCCAGACTTGTGGGTTCACACCACTCTGGACTTCCATGGTCATTCTTCCAGTATGCCTTTATACTCACATTTTCTTCTTCTTACAAGAAAAATCACCTTAACCCTATAAAACCTTATCACAACTTGATTACACCAACACAAATTGTATTTCCAAATGAGGTCACATCAACAGGTACTAGAGGGTAGCTCTTAAACATACCAGCTGTGGGGGGATAGTTCAGTCTTTAATAATACAAATGGTTAAGTAGTAAATGAAAAATCTCTATTTTTATTTTTAATTTAAAAAAAGAAACACAACATGGAAAATCTGTATTATTTTGGCAACTTATTTGTAAAACCAAAAGTATTCCAACATAAAAAGTTTATTAAAGAAAAAAATGAAAATGTACTTTTGAAAAAACATGCTTGTAAGAATTTCAAGGAAATATGCTTACAGCAGGCAAATTAGCAAGCTTCCCTACACCTATGAATGCAAACATACTCTATGTGTATAATTATGATATTACTACAAGTCAGCAAGATATATTTAATGCAGATTTTTAATTATAGTTTCTCATTAGAAATCTTTGCATGAATCTTTTGTCTTCCAGTGTGGTCACAATAAGTCAAATTATGGTAGTAGGTGAGAGATTCCCTTTTCCTTCCCACCTATGTGACCTCATGAAAATGATGTAACATATAATATCATGGTGAGGAGGAAATGAGAAATTATAAGTTCAAAGACGTACAAATGTTTTCTTGTTAGCTTTATAACTTTCACTTTTAACTAAGAGACCTTGAGAGAAAATAAGAGCATATATGCAAACAAGGTTGTAGCTGACAGAAATATTGATAGTTCACTTAGATCTGCCTATCTGTCAGGGGACAATGGGACTAATCTCAACAAGAAAGACAATTCTAGCCAGGTGTTGTGGTGCATAACCTGTAATTCCAGCACTCAAGAAGCTGAGGCAGGAGGATTACTGCAAGTCTGAGACCAGCCTGAGCTACAAAATGAGTTCAAGACCAGCTTGAACCACATAATGAAATCCTGTCTGAAAAAGACCAAAAAAAAAAGAAAGAAAGAAAGAAAGAAAGAAAAGAAAAACAGACAATTCTGCAGAGCATGTGGACAATAGGAAGATAAGGCATTTATTTCCAGTCTGAGAAGGTGGGGGGTTGCAGATGAGTATATAGAGCTATAAATATCTAGAAAGTCCACTGGCAGGCAGAAAAGTTCCTATTTATGAATCAAGATGGGGAGGTGAAAAAGTCAATAGCAGCACCATTCAGGTGATATTGTCATGTAGTGACATAGAATATAGACATTGTCATATCTATGCCTCATTCAACCCCAGATAAGCACATTTGCCTATAGTGACAATGTAAGTAATGCAAGTGTATGGAAGTGGGGAGTGAATGTGATAAAGTGACAACTTTCTGTTCTACTAAGAGGAAGAATCCACCCAACAGGATCTCACTGTGGTCACGTTAGAATGATCACCCAACATTTCCAGATTATTTGATTTTCAAGAGAATCAGAAATTTAGATAGCAGTAGTAGTTCAGTTAACTGTTCAAAGAAAAAAATATACATTTAGAATGACAAAAGTAAACTATTTAAGAGGCAATGAACAAAGATATTAGAAATGTTATAAAATGACTTGAAAGAGAGCTTTATTCCCACTTCTTGAGAGTGTCAATGAGTCCAAACATAGTGTGATAATTTATGGAGGTTGCTCAGAAAACTAGAGATAACATTGTCATATGATATCAATGTGTTACTTCTGGGTATCCATTCATTTTTTTATTTTAAAGAAAATAGTACAAAAAAAGAACAATAGCAAAATACAAACAACACAAAGCAAGGACATTAAAAATGATACAGGATTTCAAACCAAATAATACAGATTAACAGTGGTTGTTATATTACACATTGTTATCCTCAATGAAGTTGTTCAGATTACCAGACAAGATGGGGTGTGTTCAGCGTGGTATGGCCTTAGACTGCTCAGATTAGCAGATGTAAGAATAGAAGACTGATCACATCATTAAAGGGAATAAGAAAATAATAATTTAAAAGAACATTAGAGACAACATATAGTGTCACTAGGCAGGATTGTAAGGATTCACCAATGGATATTATACTGCAAATTGTCGTCATATAAGTTGCTCAGATTACCAGATACAAGCATGCAAAACTGGCCAAAATATTTTTTAAAACTTTTAATCATTAACTGTTCCCCTCAACAAACCATCAGACACCCAACAGTACAACAGTACAGTTATGCCACCCATCCATCCATATATATATATATATAAACATGCCTTAGTACTGTCTTTTGCTTCTTTCCCTCATCCCAGTTGTTCCTTCCTTTGAGCAGTTTTTTCCCCTTTCTTACTATCTATTGTACATTTTGGGTTTTATTTACTCTTTCATGTTCTTACACCAGGGAGACAATATGATGTTTACACATGTGGGTCTGATTTATTTCACTTATGAGTATGGTTTCTAGTTGCATCCATTTACCTTTAAAAGCCTCAAGATTACCCCTGTGGAAATCAGTCTGGAGATTCCTCACAAACCTAGGATTAGAAGTCCCACTTAACCCAGCTATTCTCCTTCTGAGTACATTTCCAGAAAAATTAAAAACATCACACCACAGCAATATATGTGTACCCATGTTTATAGCGGCGCAATTTGTCATAGCTAAATCTTGGAAACAACCAAGATGCCCATCAACTGAGGAATGGATAAAAAAGATGTGGTATTTCTATACAATGGAGTATTACTCAGCTATAAAAAAGATAAACTCAAGACTGAGTATATATTCAAAGAAATTAAAGTCAGTATGTCAAAGGAGAAATCTACACACTCATGTTTATAGCAGCACTATTCACAATAGCTATAATAAAGAATCAAGCAAGGTGTTTTCATCAAATAAATATAATGTGACATGAAAACGCAGTGTAACATTCTTCAGTCTTCAAAAAAAAGAGAGACTTTGTCCTTTGTGACAATACTGAAATGAAATAAACCCAGCACAGAAAGACACATAAGACATGATCTCACTTACATGTGGATTGTCAAACTGGTGAACTCATAGACTGGACCAGAGTGCTGGGTACTAAGGATTAGAGAGGGTATCAGGAAAATGGTAGTCAGATGTACAAAATATCAGTCACATAGGAAGCATAAGTTTAAGAGACCTATAATACAACACAGCAACTCTGGGTAATAATAATATATTTGATCCTTTAAAATTACTGAGAAGTTTTCTTAAGTGTTCTCGCCACAAAAAAAAACCAAAAACCCATGATAGCAATGTGGAGTTGTTTTTGCTAATTAGCTTTATCTATCTATTCTTCAGTGTAGGGCTGGGGATATAACTCAGTGGTACAAGGACCTGCCTAGCAATGACAATGGTCTTGAGTTCGATTCCCAGCACCAAAAAAAAGTTAACATATATTTCAAAGTATCATGTATCACATGATAGAAATGTGTGTTTGCCTGTAATTTAAAAATGAATTAATTTTAAAATCGAGAGAGTTGAAGCTTGATATTCAACAAAATTCTAAGCATAGTGTCGAACTACTTTAATGTTATCTTCTACTTGTCATGGGTAGGTTCTTTGAGTAATATATAAATTTACTGCATATTAAATTGTGTTGAAAAACCATAATATATGCACCACTTCAACTTCCACAACAGTTTTCTAAGGAGTGAGGAACTAAAACATTGTGATTTTTACCCTTACTATATCAAGTGGTGTTATGTATTTTATGTCAATGAACATAATTACAGTTACCAAAAGCAGCTAGAGAACCAATGAGAATCATGCTTTGTAGAGTCAACCAAATATGAGCAGACCCTTCACCATCATTAACTTGCCATTTCTTGAAAATGTCAGAATTAAAATGACCTTTATTTTGTTATCAGAAAATTGTTTTTAACACAAGCAAAAAAAAAAAAAACCGTAGAGTATATGCAAGTAAGATATCAGAAGAAAAGACATATTTTACTTAAGAAACCCTGAATGATTTAGAAATTGCAATCAGAAATTCAACACTTAAGAACAGAAAGCTAATGCAAACTCAAATTAGTAATAACTTTTAATTTAATTCTCTTAAAAGTTTCACATATAGTGTGAAGAAGTCACATTCACAGGTTTCACTTTTAAAGTTCACCAGCAGTCTTCAGAACATTAGGACACAAAGGGCTCTACACAAGTGCTGTTGCAAAAGTCAGGGGAAGGGATGCAGTTTGGCTCCATTCAATGGATCTTCACCAAGATATCTTAAAGGCTGAACAAAAGTCATTAGAAGAAGAATGTTATTTTTCTCTTTCTATTATGAATATATGAATACATTATAGTGTAATACATGCAATCTCATTTATATAAAAAACATACTATGCGTTGTGAGAAGAAATGCAATATTTTCAAAACTTCAGTGTATGTAAGAATCACTAGTATACTATGGAACCATACTGACATTAGTAAAGGCCATTTTCATGGGTACTAAGGATTCTGAAGTAGTTATAAAGTATTATTTGACATTGTAAGTCAAAAGTTATTCATATTCATATTCATATTTATAATGCTGTTAGAAATATATATCTATGCATGGTCTAGTGTAATTTGTAGGCATAAATATTTTACATGTGAAATGCAGCCAATGACATAATCATGTAAGTAAAATCACTTTACATATTTATGACAGATTTTTCCCTTTTTAGTTGGCTAAATCATAATTTTTCCAAGCATTACACCATTAACTGACATTCATTTTCTTTTCAGCATTTTTGCCATTACTAACAGCATTGCAAATATAAAACCTTAAAGGTATGTTTTTACCTTATTTGTATGGAAAAAATTCTCAAGATTAGAATGGTTGGGTCAAAGGATCTGTGAGGCTTTTTATCATTGTTGTTGGTATTATTATTATTTATTACTTTGTTAGTATTTGTTATTATTTATTTGTTGGTATTATTATTATTATTATTATTATTATTATCACTTTGTTACAAATTACTAGGCTATTTCTCCAAGGGCTAATACAGCTCTTCCAGTAATAGTGTTTGAAATCAACTTTTACTCTGTATTCCCACTAACAGTAAATTGATGCTATTTTAAATTTTTGTAGGCTAGTCTATGTAAAGTGATATTGAAATTTTACCCATAATTTGGATTCCTCAGACATATTGATGAATTTGTGTATTTTAGAGATATTTATTTGCCATTTGACTTCACTTTATGCAAATTTTCCTTCCATAACTTTGTTCAATTATACATTGGATATTGTGTACACACATATAAATGTTACACATATATTAATCATTTTCATGTTATATGCAGCTTATAAGAATAAAGATAACTTGGGGCTGCGCTTTAGCTCAGCAGCACAGTGCCTGCCTGGAAAGATCAAGGCTGTAAATTCGATTCCCGGTACCGGAAAACAAACAAACAAACAAACAAAAAAGAATAAAGATAACTCTTTTCATTTTATACACATGAATACTTTACATTTTAATGTTTTTGTTAATGTTTTTTGCAGTATTGGAGACCAAACCTACACTTCTTATACTTATTTTTCTTGAAACTGCTTATTGAACCCAGGGCCTTCCAAATGAGCTATCTCCCTAACCGTTTTTAAATTTTTGTTTTGAGACAGAGTCTCACAAAGTCACTAAATTGCTCAGGTTGGGTTCATACTTGCTGTTCTGCTGCTTCAGTCTCCCAGAGCTGGATTACTGGTGAGCATCACAGACTGGTTTATATTTTATATATTTTTAAGAATTCCAGCTTTAACTCTTTCTCTCACTCTGTTATTTATTATATGTCACTCATATAAGATAATGTATGTATTTTTTTTCTACAGGAAAACCTTACTTTTTAATCCATTATTTCTAGTTATGTAGTCCTTCCTTATTTGTTTTTAAAAATAGAAAGTATACCAACTAAGTCATTTCACTAATTGTTCACTTTTTTACACAGCTTAACAAACTTTTCTCCATTTTCAGTTTTTATTTTTTCATTTGTTTACTTTCATCATGAGTATACTCAATATATGCTTTTGGATTTAAAAAAACATGTTCTCATTTCAGCACATCTCCTGAAAATCTCCCTCAAGATTTCCAGGCTAATTTTCTATATTCCACTGTTTCCTAAAATCTTTATCTTAGCGTGCATTAAACAACTAAAGATGTATCATAAGCCTTATATTTTTGCTGACATGGTCCCTGTAATAACCTTAAAATATTTATTCGTTAACCCATTTTTATTTAGGTCCCTGGATGTACCATTATTATTGCTTAGCATAAATATGCAACTTGTGAAAGGATGAGTCACATTTGCCAAAAGCTGTCATATATTCTGACTGCGAGTATGCAATTATACAAAAGCACACACATGCAGAGGGAAACTAACGTGAGAATGTGCTCTTTCTGTGCACTGACAGAGAAACTCTCCATCCTCCAAAGGAACATGCCTGTTTTGAACAATAACAAATACATTTCCCCTCTCTTACCTCACTGGGTTATAAGTTCCCGTTCTCATCACTGTGGCTCAGAGAAGCTTCTTTTTCTATTTAAAAAACAGAGAGATATTTAGACACTGAAATTAGTCCAATATTAAAGCCACATGGCTTGTCAGAGTGTTGTGGGAGGAAGAAGATAATTATTGGGAATTACAGCACACCTTCCTTCCGTCAAGTACCTGAGAAGCATTACGAGCATCTAAGAAGACTGTCCCCCACAAAAAAGGCTAGCAGACGCAGTGTAAGGCACAGAAAGTCTTTCTGAGCCCTTAAGTATGTTTCCTAAAGTAGCAATGGAAAATACCAAATCCTTTAGGTTGAACAGTGAGGCCAGCCCCTCTCACACTCTAAGGTTCCTTTGTGCAGCGAGGGCCATGGCACTGTGCTACATCTCCCAACCCCACACAGGTGTGCTGCCCAGACAGACTTGGTGCGTTGATGCTAGATGGAGGTTCAAAGAAAGAAAAGGAAGCACTACAGGACAAGACAAAAGACTGTCAGTAGTGATGGATCCTCTTGGAATAAAGGCATGGAATGTTCAAGCTTTTACATTTTTATGAAAAATAGAACAAAATATCAAGTTCAGGAAACACAACCAAAAAGAAGTGGCAAAGGAAGAAATCATGCAGGAAAATGTAGGTCAGAAGATACAAAACTGTAGGAGATATGATAGACATTGTAAGTTGATAGGAAAGCACTCAAAGGTAAAGGATAACTGGGATATGGGAAAAGAGAAGGCAAAGAAGGAGAAAGTTTGTATGTATGTATATGCAGGATAGTTAACATGGCTGTTCTACTGTCTTGTATTTCTTTGCTGAAAGAAACTGTCAATGAGTCCTTGGTTGATAAGCTTTGTATGTCTATATCTGTTTTCATGAGAAACCACTTTGAAGATATCAATATGTAATACAACAAGCATTGTTAATTCCCTACCACTTTGTAACTCTGTACTGTCTGTACTGTTCCTTTGCTATTTTGTAAAATGTCAACTGTCTGTTAATATTTTCCTCCTTTTATTTTTAAAATATATATATATATAAAAAGAAGATACAAAACTGGAAATATAGGCTCAGAAAATCTAGAGAACTGATATGCAACAGGAGCCCAATTGCATTACCACCCAAGTGTGTATAGGATTCCTATCAAATGAGTTGACTTAACTGCTCTTGTGCCCCAAATCCATGTGAGTCAATGAATATTATAATTTGCTTCACAGCATTGTACTATCTTTGTGTATCCTATAACACCATGTTGTGTATGTTAAATATACACAATAATTATTTCAAAACAAAAAAAAGTAAAATGTCACCCAGGTTTTCATTTAGGAGATTAACTTCTGTTTTAATAAAAGGAGGGTTACATCACAATATTGTCCTGCACTGTTGTCGGTACCTGTGTCAGAAATACCCATGGGCATGTTAAACTAGAGGACTCCATATGATTACAATATTTTTTCCTCAAACTAATTTTCAGTTCATGACTACCTTTTCCCTGCTTACATGCATCCTAAACTTCTTATTATAGGTTTTGGATCTTTCCCCACTGTTGATTAAAGTAGAATATTCAGTCTTGGTTGCAGGCACCAGTCAGACAACCCCCAGCCCATCCTGCTATAGACTGTCAAAGAATCCACTGACCAGAGGAAGCGTGTAGATCCAGATCATCTGCCTTCCGGCTCGAATTCATCTCTTTGTATCGAATGTGGTGAACAAAAAATTCTCCTCTTGAGAAAACTGACAATAGAGGTCCTAGGTTACAGGTTAACAGACCACACGGTAAAACTTCCCTTCCTTTCTGTGTTCATTTCTCAGCAGTGCAAACGCACCTAAGCCTTACCCAGCCTATTGTTCCCCTGCTTTCCCCACAGAATGCTACCCACTTGAATCAGATAGGCACAAGGCTAAATCACCCCCAGTGGCACCATGTAACAACCAACCTTCCCTGCAAGGAGACAACATGGCCTTTATAATGTGCTATAGGTTTTTCTAAATCCTTCTAAGAACATTTCATTTTCCTTCCACCTCATAATAAAGTCCTTTTCAGCTCTCATCTGCACTGTTTCAAAATGCCATTCCTGTCAGTACTGTGGTCCTCCTTCAGTCTTTCATATACCGTTGTCAAACGATCTTTCTGAAAGCTAGCTTGGCCACGTACTTCCCAACTTGATATTTCAATGACTTTGAATCATATAGCCATTGCATATAAGAGCTTCATAATTTGTTCCTCCCTTGTCAGGAGCTTCTGCCCTTTGCTTTAGACCAACAAACACGCCCCCCTTTATACACCTTTACAGTTTCACAGGTGGGTCCTGCCTTCTTCCTGGAAATCACCTCACTCAGTTCTTTGAACTCCTATCTTAAAATGTGTCTCAAGAGCTTCCTAGAAGCGTTCCACACTCCCTTGCCCTTTCAGTTATTTACTCATCACCATGAAAAATGTATAATGCAATGTGACTATTTACATGTTGATCTTTTCCACTAAACTTGAAGTTCCATGAAAACAAAAACACTCTATTATCTATTCATGCTCCTTCAAAGCCCAGCATGTCACTTGGTTGAATGGTAAAAATGTTAATAAGGATATTATATTAAGAGCAAATAAATTTGAGCAAGAGAGGCTTCATCTAGGCCATAAATATCATATGTAATACAAGGTGCCCATTCTATCATAGCCTAATTAAACATGCACATGGAGTGCAGAAATCATCAGTGCGGGCTAACCCCCTTATCCCCAGTGAAATAGTCCTCCCTTTTGTGCTGTAAAACTTCTCTAAGCCCCTACTTCCTGTTTATTTAATACTTGAAGCTATTTCTATTGCTGTTGTTTCTTCTTATCCTAAGAAACCCCTTATCCTATAGACACATTAGGAAGACCACAATTTGCCTCAGACCTCCGAGCCTCTGTATCTGTCTCTTCTTCAAAATCCATGTGAGGAATCCGATGAGAAGTGCCAACAGAATGACTCCAAAGATCACAGAAACAACAAGAGACTTGTGCCCTGAAAAACCTGAAAGAGGGAATAAAAATTAGGAGGTATGATAGATATTGTGAAATGAAAGGAAACTGCTCAAAAGTAAAGGGCAACCTGGATGAGGGAAAAAAGAAAAGAAAGAAGGGGAAAATTTTGTATATATGTATATACAGGATAGCTAACATAGTTGTACTACAGACTTCTATTGTTTTATTGAAAGCAACAGTTAATGTTTAATTGTTTGATCAATCTTACATGTCTATATTTGTTTTCCTGAGTAACCACTTTGAAGATATCAACATGTAATACAACCATTGTTAATTTCATATCACTTTGTCTGAAATTCAGTATTGCTTGTATTGTTTTTGTATTATTTTGTAAATGTATGTGTATTTGTTAATATATTTCCATTCCTTTATCTTTAAAATAAAAAAAAAGAGAGATGAGGATATCCAAGCTGAAAGATCTGGATCCTAGTTACTAAACATCTCTTTACTCATTACAGGATCCCTAAAGTAAATCCAAGTCCTCAGAACTCCTTTGGACCTAAACTCTCCGAACAAGAAGGATGTAGCTAATTGGCCCCATAGTCACAAACCCATGCTGTACCTGGTGGTGGTGATTCTGAAGTTCCCATAAGAGAAGACAAAGAGACAGAATCTGGGACTAATAGAGTAAATATTTCTCATTCCACTTGAGAGAAACATCTGGATGGTCCCCCCACTGCATCGCGTGCCGGTGTATCCTGTCTTTGTAGGACACACCGCAATGCCACCCTCTCTCAGCTGCCAGCTCCTCTCAGCTTACCCGGGTTCTTGGCACTGACTGGGAGGCACTGCACTGCAGCATCTTCCTTGTGCCCACAGTCACTGTGCCCCCATTGCCTGGCGGGACAGTCCCACAAGGAGGTCTCATTTCCTGCGCACTGCACGTGGCTGAGCCATACAGGTCCCGTGCCCTGACCGAAAGCTGCTTCTTTCAGCGCCTTCACAGCCTTGCCACAGCCCAGCTGGCGGCACACCACCTGAGCATCATCTAAGTCCCAGGAGTCATCACACACGGTTCCCCAGGAGCCTCTGTGCCAGATCTCCACGCGTCCGGAACAAGATGCAGGTTTCTCCTGATCTTTAAGTCTTATCTTATCTGAAAAATCAGAGACATCAAGATTATTTCTGAGAAGATTGATGCTTCTGAAAGATTATAGGAGAAAAGAGAGGTTTAAAATTCCATTTTAAAAGTCTGTTTGAAAACTCTATTTCATATGTAAAAGTTTCAAGAGAAACAACCTATAGAATGGGGAAAAATGTTTTGCCATCTACTACTCCAAGGACCAACTTTTGTATATAAAGAACTCAAAAAAAGGAAAACCTAGATACCCCAAATTTATAAAACCAATCAAAACTGGGCATCAAAATGAATAGACACTTCTCAGATAAAGAAATGCAATGGGCCAATAAATACATGAAAAAGGGTTCAATGTTGTTGGCCATTTGTGAAATGCAAATTAAAACAATATTAAGATTCCATGTAACCCCATCAAGAAATTAACCAATAAGAAATGCTGGAAAAGCTGTGGGGAGAGACTAACACTTATTCATTGTTGGTGGTAGTATAAACTGAGACAATCACTATGGAAATCAGCATAGAGATTTCTTTAAAACTGAAAATAGGAATTTCATTTGACCCACCTATTCCTTTTCTAAGTATATTCCCAAAAGAGTTAATAACATCATACTACAGTGATGTATGTATACTCATGTTTATAGCAGCACAGTTCATATTATGTAAATCTTGTAAACAGCCTGTATGCTCATCAGTGGATGAACAGATAAAGAAAATGTATTTATAGACAACGGAGTACTGCTCTGCCAAAAAATGGATAAACTTGAGGCGTGTGAAGGAAAATGGATGCACCGTGAGATCATAATGCTTAGTGAAGCAAATCAGATGCACAAGCTTAAACATTGCATTGTCTTCCTTCTATTTACAAGTTAATATATAAATAAATATGAAATAAAAGACAATAATAGGAAAAGAGAGAGAGGAATAAAGGGAATTGTATTCTAAGTATATTTCTGCTGTTGATTTCTAGTTTCATTCCAAAATGGTGTGAGATCTCACTTTGTAGGACTTCCACTTCTTTGAATGTGTTAAGGTCTTTACTGATGCTATGAGCAGGGTCTATCCAGCTGAATACTTCTTATGATTTTGAGAGGACTGTGTTCTTTCCAGGTTTTACATACAGTGTGCTGCTCAGTTTGAGGTAATATGTTGCTGATTTTGACTTCCATTGCAAATCTTTGTACCTTCTTTAGCAATTTTTGAAGGAGTTGTTTTGAGATTTTCAGTGATATTTGTGGGTCTATGATTTTCCCTTTAGTTTCATGTTTTGCCTTATGTAGTTGGGTGCTTTCTTTAGTAAAATGTGTATTAACAACTGTTGGTTCTTACTGGAAAACTGCTTTTTATATCATTATATAGTCACTAAATCCTTGTTTGTTTTGAGGTACAAGTTGAATAGGTTCAAATTTACATAGTTTCAGCATGTTCTGTTGAGTCAATGGTGGACTAGCATGTCTATCTCCATATCATTTTATTTGGGCTGTGCTTTTACATTTACCTTATAGTTGTTGTGTCTTTTGAAATACTTGTATACTCTTTAAATTGATATAAAAAGACAATTTATTTAAAAAAAATAGATAAGCGGCTGGGAAACTGCCAAGTAGATTCACAGTTTAAAGAAGTGTACAGTGAGAGAGTACTGTGGGACTGATTTTTAGCTTTTTTTTCTTATATCAATGTAGCAAGATAATATTTGAATAGTATTTGATAATATGTGCTATGTAGATAGAATAGGAATTACTTGGAGTTTATCCAACCTGCTTAATAAGGTCTAAGAAGGTAAGGTGTTGTGGGAATAGGAATGTAAAACCTAATGTGCTTTTCAGGTGATGGTAGAGCTGTAGGATTAAATTCAAAAGAATTTAATGGACAAAAGAACACTCACTGTCACATGTGATCCAAGTCTCCTCGGCGGGGCTGGCTAATCTCTGCTTCCATGGAGAGGATGTGCACTGCCATAGTGTGTTAGTTCCTACTGGACACTGTACCTTGTCCACCCACATGAACCTGGATGGTGCTTTGTCTGAAGATGTGGACTCAATGGTTCCATTGTCTCCACAGCCGAGGTGCTTACATACAACCCCCACGGTGGTCTGGGACATGTCACTCTTGCCAATGCTGCCCCATGCTCCATTGTAAAACACTTCCAGACGTCCTGAACAGGGGCCCTTGCTGCTCTCTCCTGCGAGTCTCAGAGACATAAACTCTGAGGTGAAATACAGAGTTAGTAGGTAAACACCTCTTCAGATTTGGAAGAATCCTTCTCTTTACTGTGACGTGAGACGTTTTTTAAAAATAGACACATCTTGTCAAATATTAGTATTTGTTCAGTAACTTCTGGCTGATTTAGTTGATATTAGCAAAATATAATGTTTATTCTAGCATCCTTTATGATTTTCTAGTCCTAGATTTTTTTTTACTTTGGATCTTTGTTACAATGCTGTCAGTGATGTTTTCCAGATCCAACTAAAACCTCAGAGCTTTCTGTTAATTACATAGTTTTGATTTTCTTACTAACTTACTGTAGTGTTAGCCTCAAGGATCTTACTCTGTTCTTGTTTATTTTTAATTGATACATAAAAGTCGCATGTGCTTTGAGGGGAGAGTGTTTTATGATCAAAGTGAAGGGTGTAACATATTCATGTTCTCAAGTGTTTATCACATCTGTGCTTGTTTCTTTTTCTTTTTTTGACAATAGTGTTTGACAGTTAAAATTTAATGAGACTTAGGCACTAAAACCAATATCTGTATCCATTGTCTTAAAATGAAATACAGTAAGTCCCCGACTGACGAACACTGGGGTTGTGAGTTTTCACAGATATGAATGGATGCTGAGTTATGAATATTTGTAGATATGGACAAATCATGAATGTGGCTCTCATATCTGCAGGACATTGTCACAGTTGTGCTGCTGTGTGCTTACTGGATAGTGTGATAGTGTGCAGTAGTTTAGAACGGTCTAGAACTTACTGTATTTGTGTGTTGGTTTTTTTATGCTTTACATTGTATATTTGTGTCAAAGATATATAAGACTCATTTTGTTGGACTTATGAACAAATCCAACCTAGCAAATGCTCTCTCAGGATGAAACTCATTTGTCAGTTGGGTGCCTACTGTATTTCCTTTACTGAAACTTCAGATTTTTTTGTGCATTTCCTATGCTAGGTTTATGTCATTACTTAGAAATCAGTTATTCTGCCTGCAAAAACTGTACTCAGCCATACTATTATTTTCCTCTGTATATTACAACTGAGGGTATTTTTTTCTATTTCACACTAACTTCTAAAGCTTATTATGTATATATAGCAAGATTGGTGACCTCTTAAAATAGTTCTTGGTGCTATGAGACAAAGTCTCATTTATCTATTTGAACAGCTACTTAAGCATGATGATTATCTTTGTTTCTGTAGAATAATGCATGGAATATAGTTTTGATCCTATTAATCTACTTTAATACTTTAGTTATTTTTATCAAGTGTTGGGTGCTAATTCTTTTTTACTCCAGTTCTATATTTATTCATAAAACAATTTTATTAATGAAATATTCATGATATACAAGCCTGTTCTGGATTTTGCTCTTTATAATATACTACCTTGTAGATGAGGCAGCACTAACTCATCAGACTCATACTCCTGGGATCTTAACTCTGACAATTGTCTCCTTGAATATGATTTTTCAGGGAACTCTTTCAAATTGCTGTCATTTCCTTCACTAACCTTTCTCCCACCTCAGTCTTGTAGGTATTTGTGACCAGGCTTATGTGTGAAATTTACCTGAGCAGATAACACCTGCATCCTCTTTATGCCTGCAATTATGCTGACCCCAGCCATGGGAATGGCACTGCCAAACATGTGCTTCTTTTCCACTGCAGTTTATCTCATCAAGCCAGATAGGTCCTGTTCCTTCCCCAAAATGAGCAGAACCGGTAGCATTAATGGCCACTCCACAGCCCAGCTGTCTGCACACCACATGAGCATCATCCAGATCCCAGCTGTCATCACAGATGGTGCCCCAGGAGCCCTCATGGTAGATCTCTATTCTCCCAGCACAGTAACCATTTCCATTTACCAAGCGAATTTGACTGTTTTCTGGAAAAAGGAACAAAATACTAAGGAAAAGCATTTTTAAGGATTGAGATCATTTTCAAGGTTGGCCACTGTTTCTTACCTAAGCAGGTAGCAGCATTTTCTTGTGGAATGGTAGAGCTAGTTGGCTCCAGAGATGATGAATTGCAGGGCAATATTCTCTGAGACTGGTTTCCTACAAACACCAAACTGCTCCGTCACATAAGATGCAAAAGGTTAGGGTGAAGAATGGGCATCAGATGAAATGTTACACAGAGCTGAGGACAAACATGGTTTTCAAGAGGGGGGAAGGTGGGTGGGTCAACAAGGTTGGGAATTAAATTAGGTGCTTTGAAAAGAGTTGGGCCATAGTGAGCACTAGATAGCAATGAGGTTCATGAAAACTAAGGACTCATCCTCTAAAAAGACAAATGAGGTTAATATTCTGGCGCACTCCTATTACCCTCAAAATGAGTGATTCCCTTTTACTTTTCTACTTTGTCACTGTAGATACACTTAGTCATAAGGCACACCATCATGGGAGGTGCTCATCACAGCTTGTCCTTCATCCTCTTACCTGAACAGATGACAGAGGCCACTTGGCTTTCAGAACACAGTGACGCACCAAAAGCAGTTACAGGACAGTCTCCCATGTGCACCTCAGTCCCATTGCAGTGGAACATGTGCCTCCAGACCGGGCCATTTCCCCTCCCAAAATGTGTTCCTCCTGGGGTAGAAAGAGCAACTCCACATTTCAGCTGCTGGCATAAAACATGGGCATCTTCCATGCTCCAGCGAGAGTTGCAGAGGGATCCCCACTCTCCAAACACCTTGAGCTCTACTCTTCCCTCACACGAGGACTTGCCATTGGTCAGGCGAATTTCTGTGTATCCTGGAAGGAGACAGAGCTTTAGAAAGAGGGCTGTGATGACCTAACCCTTCTCCCTTCCAAGCATGAGAACAAAGTGAAGAAGCTCTCAGGGTCTCACTTGAGCAGGCTATGCCAACTTCTCTGTTTTGGTCACAAGACCCATCTTGGCGAGGTGCAAGTGGGCAGAGTGAAAGATGGGACTCATTTCCTTCACACTGAAATTCTTCAGCCCAGATCTGTCCTTTCCCTTCTCCAAAGTGAGCTCCCCCTAGGATGGAGATGACTGAGCCACACTGAAGTTCTCTGCAGAGGACACTGGCAGCTTCCAGAGAGAAGTCAGAATCACAGACAGAGCCCCAATTGTCCCCGTGCTTCACTTCAACACGACCAGAGCAAGGAACGTCCCCTTCGACCAGCCTGGGCTCCCTGTGGGCTAGAAAACAACAACACTTCAGTGAAGAAATAATAGTTTCTATATTTTCTCTCATGATGGAGTAAAGAAGTGGGGTATAGAGAGGAGATGGAGGGCCAGAGCATGCAGTGATCTCCCATACTTGTTGCTCTTCAATTTTAGCCTAGAGGTAAGCATGGAAAATTCTAGATGTCCCCATTTCTCACTGTGCTTCTCCTAGAATACTCGGGAACTTCTGTTCCTGCTGCCAGTTGTTCCCACCTGGAAGTAATTGCTCTTTCCTTCTAGCATTCCACTCATGTATTCACACACAAAATGTATCTAGCTACTGTCTGTCAGTTCTCAACTCACTGTGGTCTGGATTTGGCCTCAACTTTTTCTATGGTTTTAATGTAAAATGTTTCAATATATTTCAATTTTCAAAATGGACATTCGACTTCTCACTCACATCTATTACACTGGACATGTGTGGACTTCTAATCTCCTGCATTCTCCTTTTTCCATGCTGACCCTCACTCTTCAGCCTAACCTTTTGCATTCAAACTCTTTCTTGAGTCATTGTTCTGGCCTTGATATTCTCAGCTCCATGGACATCTCTCAACTACCAACAAATACATTTTTAGACACACTTTTCTGTTTAAGCTTAGGTTAGTAACTGTACCTATTTTGACATCTGGAATTTAAGGTACTAAAACAATACAGAAAGTATCATATGGTTAGCCCACTGTATTCTTTACTCAATTAATAATATCCAAACCAGACTGGAATTAATTGCCTATACATGAACCAATTTTTATATCACCACAATTTTTTTTTTTTGGAACTGGGAATTGAACTCATGATCTCAGGCTTACCAGGCAAACACTTATGCCACTGAGCTATATCCCCAGCCCATTGTAGCACCACAAATTATGGTAGCAATAATGATATAGTGAACATTAAGTGAATACCTATTAAATATGTGATCTTAATAAGCATTTAAGAAACATCGTGTCAGTTTTTCAAAATGATTGAGAGTACAGTTTTTTGGTTTGTTTTTGATTTGGACTTTCTTTTTTTTTTTTTTTTTGTACTGGGAATTAAACTCAAGACCTCGAGTTTGCCAGGCAGGCACTGTGCCACTGAGCTATATTCCCAGCCCTAGAATACAATTATGAGTACAATTCCAACTTTACAGACTAGGAAGTGAAGCATAGATGGATGTGTTAGTTTGCTAAAGTCACACAAAAAATTAGGAGAGGTCAGAATTTGAAACAAGTCAGTGCATTCCAGACCTGAGAACCTTGACGCTCACAGCATCTGTCACTCCTGCAATACATTTCTTCTTCTCTATAAGTACTGCTGTTGCTTCTGTGCTTTGTTATCATCTGTCATGTAGACCTTTGCAGTACCTTTCTGAGTGGGCTTCCTTCCAAATCCTCTTTCCAAGAAATCTATCCCATGATCATCCATATATTGTGAAATTCCAAATATTTTCAGATTATTTCCTTGTCTTCAACATGATTCATTGTTTCCTTACCATTTGTACGGTACTTTATCCTTCTAGCACATATTATTACACACCTACACTGTAGTCTGACTTTGCATTAGGCATTTGAAGACAAATAGGCTGAAAAGTCTGTCACGAAGTTCAGTCTATCCTTGAAGATAGATCATTTTAATATCATATTTATTACCACTGTAGCTTATACTTATCACATGCTGTGTGACTCCTGTGAGGTTGCCATTATTGTTACACAAATTTATTTGCCAGAGGTGAGTGAGATGACAATATAAAATGCCTTAGATTCCCCAATGTCTCTCAGCTATTAAAATGAAAGAGATAGGATAAACACTGATTTCTTAGCATCTTTTAATATACTTTGCTGTTTTCTTGAGAGGTTTAATATCTACGCTCTATTAATCATATCCAATGTTCCAACTAAAAGATATTTGGACATGCCATAATTTGTCAGGCTTATGTGCCTCTATTGAGGACTTTTCTATCTATACTGTGTGCACCCCTGGAAAAGTCTACTTCTTTTAGAGGCTGCTCATTTTCTCAGTAAGATTAGGAGTTTTCCAAATGAAGAAAGTGTAAAGAAGCATTTACATAATACAGTCATAAAATCACATGGTGGAACTGAAGAAATATAAGTCATTTAGGACAGCTGACACTTAAAATGTAAAGAAAATGCACACCAGATGTAATAAATGGAACTTAGACTATAAAAGCGTTCTGTGTCAAACAAAAGAACAGTCAAGATGAGGAATTGTTTCCCTTTACAAACTCAGAGACGATTTGAATTACTTAGAAAATGCAAATACTTTTAATTCATTTTAGAAATAGAATCTATGTAGTGAACATAAATATGGTGCTGACTTTGACATTTAAAAGGGAAAAGCAGTTTAGCATAAGCCTGCTCTCCGGTGCCACTCATCCTTATAATTCCCCCGTTGTAGCACCGTGGTGTGGATACAAACTCAGCCTTAGTGAGTTTGGCTATTCTGATTTCTCTTCAGATCATATAAATGTAGGTCAAATTGTTCCAGACATGACTATATTCGTATTACAGCACTATAGAATTCCTCACCATTTCTAAATCTCACCAAATAGCTATTAAATCCGTTAAAGCTTATTTGAGATGAAGGTTTTGCTTTTTAGTCATAGCTCAGCTTTTAAAGCAAATGATATTTCTTTGATATAAGATACTTCAATTAGAAATCCCTTAACTTTTTGGGTCTTTTGTTTTTGTTTTTGTTTTTTTTGTTTGTTTGTTTGTTTTGTCTTTTTGAGACAGAGTCTTGCTATGCAGTTCAGCTGACCTTGAGTTCACTTTGTAGCTCAGGCTGGTCTCGAACTCACAACGATCCTCCTGTCTCAGCCTCCTGAGTGCTGGGATTACAGGAATGAGCCACCAAGCCTGGTGTAACTTCTTGTTTTTGGATTGTTATATGAGCATGCAATTCCCATAAGGCATCATTGATTGGTGTAGACCAGATACTGTTACAAATTTGGGCAACCCTAAATCTTAAATAAAGGCAGTTGCTTAGATCAAGCCTCAAATCAGCTTTTTTGTTTCTTCTGCCTCACTTGAAGCAAAATAAAACACAACCAATCAAAATTAGACCAAAAGCAAATAAAAACAAACATTTTTCTCTTCCATGATTAAAACTTGTTTTATACATGAAAATAAGGTATTTCTATAAGTATCCTCACTTCCTTTCTCTGAAAATATTTGAGTGCAGGACAAAAAAAGAAATTCTTCCACTCAAAAAGTAATTTAGATTCCATTTTCAGTCCTTATGTTATGAATCTGCTAAAACATATCTACTCATATCATGAGTTTGCTTCCTTATGTTACTTAATCTGTATACATAGTCAGAATATTGGAAGTTTAACTGCTTAAGACATATATTTTCCTGAAAATTGTACCATAGCATTTATTTTATGTAGAGACCACTAAGAGAATTTTGTAGCCAAATTTATCTCCTTTGATTAACAAATTAAACTTTCTCCGGGGGCAATGTAATTAAATTTATTTTTTTCTCTTAAAAAATGAATAAACCACAATTAAAAGAAATTATTAGAATTAGTTCTCTTATTTAGCAATAGATAAATTATACAGTATTATTCAAAGAAGTATAAGCACATTTCTATCACTTGGTATTTGTAACTTGGAACTAGCAATATTGAAAAAATACTCTAAGTATCTTATTCCCAAATTGAGCCTTAGCAAACAATGAAATTGATGGTCCACATAGAAACTCAATGAGTGTCTCTAAAAAGACAGAATCTAAGTTTTGTGTTTTTTCTCATGCCCAAGTTTAAAATAACCTTAAGGTAGTGGCCAGTAATCAGGAGAAAGGGACTTATCTCAGTATAGATCGACCTATGCAAATATGCCCTGCAACTGTAGTTACTTTCACAAAACACTGGTTTAAGATTAGAAGTCTAGTAAGCTTGGAGAGAACCATTTTACCGCCTTTACATAGGTGATACCAGCCAATGAGAGGTCAATTTTTGAACCAATTCAAGGTTTTATAAGCCCATGCCAGCAGAAATTGAGTTGTAAACAAGTGCACCCCCAGCAGATATGCACATGAAACCACACACAGATGTGATAACAAAGATCAGAGTACCCGGAAGAACTGCCCCAACTACAGCACCTGTACCTACCAAGGGCAGGGGACAAAGAACAGCTCAGAAGCCAGAACACAAAACTCACACTGAGTTCCCATGGAGCTCACACAGCTACAGGGAAACTTGTCACATCTGCCTGGCAGGATATGATAGTTACTGCAATAAAACAATTCTACATGTTTCTTGGTGAGCATAGCTACCAAAATAACCTTAAGCTGCTTATCTATTTGACTTATTTTAAATGGTAAAAGATAAACTTTTATCTATTTTAGCACTGTTTTGCTGCATATTTGGCATAGCTAAACAACGTTAATTTAAAATGTAGTAGGAAAATACAGAAAACTTTCTAGATTTAGAAGGAAATGATCCGATATGCAAATATATTTATGCATGCTCAGAGACATGCAAAACCTCTCAAAATGGTTATATACTGAGATGTATGTTTAGATTTAGCATCACCCACAGTGTGTCAATATATATTTAGTACATACGCTGTAAAAACATATTACTCTTACCTATCAAATATATCTACTACAACGAAAAGTAATTCAAATAGATTTCTTTTAAAAACAAATCCAATGCTATGTTGAATAAAAGTTTTGCACCTAAATATAACAATTTATAAAAGTTGAAAATAAAAGAATAAAAAATCAAAGTGGTTGTCATGATATTAATATCAGACAGGTTTGACTCAGAACAAAAAAGTTCAGTCACGGAAATGTGGAAATTTTAAAATACTAAAATGAACAATTCACAATGGCTACAGAACAATCATATAAATAGCTATGCTGCAGGTTATCATAACATCAATTCATCAGCTACATGTTGCAGCTACTGGTACACCCAGTGGCAAACCAATAGCCTAAAATCTTTTTTATTTTTAAGAAATAAAAATGAAAGCTAATTGACCACCTATCTGAAGAATTTTGGGACCAAACAATCTAGAAAGTCAGAAGTTAATTAATAGAAAAAAAATTATAATGAATTTGTAAAGAAAGGTGACCTTTTTAAAAATACAAATGTTGATTCTTTAAAACAAATTAAGTTATACCAACAGTCAATCTTATCAAGTAAATAAATTATAAGCAAAATAAATGCATGTAATAATAAATAAGAAGATAAATGTCATAGTTGGAGAAGTAATTCAGAAAGCTCTTTACAAATTTGAAATTATGGTCAAGATATTTTACTAAGTGGAATTTCAATATACAGAAATATATAAATATATATATTATTATATATATATTTATATATATATAAAAAATAATATATATATATATATATAAAATCCCAGTATAATAAAAGAGGTGATATTTATGTGTGAATACATTTGATTTTTGCTTACATAAAATATTTCCCAAATGACATGTAAATATATGAACTATGTAATTTCTGAGGAAACAAATAGGAGAACTATGCATAATAAGGAGAAAATATTTACATTTCCTCTTTAGGTGATTTTTAAACTTTATTGGTGCTCTTTTGCCATACATAACAATCACATTCATCATAGGAAATTTGAAACTATACATAATATATCTTCTCTTTTTTCTCATTCCCTTCCCTTTAAAGTTTTGTAAAGGGAGTGGGAAAGAAGCATTTATATTTTCATGCTTTGAACTTTAAACCTTGAGAATACACTTCCTAGTCAAGATTTTTACAAGTAATGTAGCAATTTAAGTCTCTGTCTTAAAGAATTGTGAGGGGATAGTGCCCAGTTAACCAGAAGTAAGCACAATTCATAAATTAAGAGAATGCAGCTAGGAGCAAACTGAGCTTAAGAGGCACCTGAGAAGAGTCATTGGTTTGCGGACATGTGGGACATAACATCTCCACCTTGTGAGTGGGTCTCACAGGTTCAACAGTTTTTTTCTTACATTGTTTTCTTTAATATCTTTTCACCATATGAGTAACAGATATATCAATAAGTCATCTGAGAGTTGAAAGGCATCACTTCAGTGATCTATTATATAAATATGATTAGCATAAAATACTAATGATTATCCACAACCTAGTGAGCTCACAACTCCCTTTTAAAATTTCAAAAGAGAATGCTGTGAAATACACACATATGTTCAAAATGAGCAAAATTCTTTCACAGTGAGACAGAGGTGCTTAAGATTAAGTCATGTTGCTTTATCCAACATACTTATTTTTAAATTATTTAGTAACATTCCCATGGAAGACATATTTAACATCTGCCTTAAAATTTTTAATTCTCCTTAATCTTTTACACCTCCATTGATTCAAAAAAATTTACTCAAATGTCAAAATCAGCAAAAAGTACTCCAAGATACAAAATAAATTGCAAGTTTTCTGAGACCCTTACAGTAGACTTTGTATAAATATTTTCTGGTTTCATGGCAGATCTAGTCATGGGGACCAATGTTTCTTTTCAATTTCAAAAATATTACTACAAGTTAATATTCTTTTTATTAAACTTCTTCTTTACAAATAGATTAAAAGTCTTACCTGAGCAGGTAACTTGGGCTTCTTCATAGGGACAGTCCTGTCCACCCCATTGCCAGTTCTTGCAGTCCCAAAGAGAAGTTTCATTTCCATTACAGCTGTGTACCTCTAGCCACGTTTTTGTTGCTTTAGTTTTGGAGTACAGTATGGAAGATGTTTGAACTGCAGATCCACATCCTAGCTGTCTGCAAACTATGTCAGCTTCTTTCAGTGTCCAGCCTCTGCTGCATATCTTTCCTACAGTTTTCTGAATTTCTACTTGCACTGTCCCAGCACAGTGGCTGCCTCCACCTATAAGTTTCAGATCCAGATCTGATTCATCTGCAAAAGAAACAGAAAAGTAGACTATAGACTCCTATCTTGTTTAGCAACCGAAGGACAGTTTTAGTCTTCCTCCTTCCCAGACACTAAGACACTGGAAATTGTGGTTTAACTTCTTTCCCAACATTTTAAGAAACAACAAGTATAAACCAAGAATTTGATAGAAATAGTATTCTACTTTCAAGGATATTTTAAAATGTCAGTGGCTCAGTAATATGAGAAATTCTTCCATGAAAGAGAGTCCTCTAAAAAAGTAAATCTCTGAGCTGCATGTAAATTTAGAATTTGAGGTGCTAGTCTCTAACATATTCTAAACAATGATCACAGAGAATAAGACAGAACTTCGCACTACTTGAATGAAGAATGTGTCAAAGATGCTTCACTATGGTAAAGTAATTTCCAACATTTGTTAGGCATTGCCTTTGTTTACATCTCAAAAGCTATCCCTACTCTGAAAGTACACAGATCCTTCCCTGTCTGCTTTTGTTTTTGTTTGAACTTACCAGAACACGTCACCCCAGCATCTTCATTATGATTGCAAAAATGTTTTCCCCACTCTTGGTGTCTACAATACCAAACAGCAGATTCATGTCCATTACAGGCAACAATGTCAAGCCAAATACTTCCAGATCCTTCACTGGCATTTACACGACCTGGGATAGTGACGGCAGTTGGACATCCCAGTTGCTTGCAGACCACAGCAGCATCATCACTGTCCCAGCTGTGGTCACATACTGTCCCCCATTCTCCTTGGAATTTCACTTCTAGTCTTCCTGAACAAGGAGTAACTCCATCTACCAATCTCAGGCCCATGTCCGCTCCCTCTATAAAAGGAAAGTACAGTTAGTAATTAGCTACCAACAATAAGGGTGACTACAAATAACTCAAAAGGGGGATATACATTTGGAGGCACAGATCATCATGATATACTTACACTGAGAATTATTAAAGATGGAGGAGAATAGGTTAGGCAAACGGAGAACTTTCCCGTATAGAGAGCCAGGAATCATTTCTAACAGGAGATCTAGAGCATGAATTTTATGGAAGATCTGCTTGTTTCATGATCAGGGTGTTTCGTTAGAACTGTTTATATTTTCTTATTGAAATACATTTACATGTGCTTAGGTTTTATCTGCAAACTCTATTTTGTCTCAATGCTTAACACGCCTTTCTGCTTCTGGCCACATTATCCATCTGTACTGTCTGCTTTATGTCCCATGCCTGCCCTTGTTCTTCCTTCCTTTAAAAATAGAGCAGATAGAAATGAAGCTTCACCATTACCCCTTGCACCTCCTCCAAGCAGTGTTTCTTAAAGAAAAGACCTTAATTTTGAAGAATATCCTATGATATTAAAATAAACTGTTTTCTCCTCTGCAATATAAAATTTTGGCCATGATTCTTATTTATTTTGACTCCTCAGCATGTGTGAATCACATTATGATGAAATGCACTGAATCAAAGCCTAGAGAGATATGAACTAAAAGTGTTACTTCCTAATCGAACCCCTCCTATTGTCTGCAGTTCACAAAATCCATCTTTCTTGTAGGAATCTTATTCTTTGTGCTTCAGGCTACAGATGGTCAAGTTGTCAACAAGACAAAGTCAATTCAAGAAACAGGAAAAGAGACAAGAGCCAGATGGCATTGTTCAAGCACCTGAATCCACCTCTTATCTCCTCGGAATTTCCCAATTTTATAAGCCAGTGTTCTCTTATTTTAATATTAGCTTTGAACTGAACTGTCTTCCTTTGCAGAGAGAAAGAAAAAGAGAGCTCGTTGGTGGAGAAAGTGATATTTCACTGCAATTATATTTTCTAAGTGCTCTTTGGTGTCAAAACACAGTCTCTTTCAAACCAAAAAGTCAGGTGAAACAGAAGGAGCAGTGTCTGTGCCTATAGAAACCCTGTGTCCTGACCCCAGATCAAAGTGTGGAACATGAAAGTCTCCAGACAAAAGAGTAGTGGTACCTCAGTTCACAAACCTGATTCTTTCCACGACTCTGGTTGCAAACTGAACTAGACAAGAACAAAATCAATTTCCCCCCAAGCTCAACATTGAACCTAGCCATTGAATTTGATTTTGTTCTCATTCCGCTCAGTTTACAACCAGAGTCACGGAAAGAATTAAGTTCATGAACTGAGGTGCTACTTATATGCTCACACTGTAGCACCAGCATAAATGAAGTTTGAATAGGAAACCAAAATGTTGGGAGGTTTTGTTTTTGTTTCGATCATTTGAGTCTATGAATTTGATTTAATGATTTAGGAAGGAGCAATTTAATGTGGCCAAAGAGGAGACTTGTTATTTATAAAATAAGTGAGAGTAATTTACTATTATTTTACGAATATTGGGGATTGGACTCAGGGCCTTTTCCCTGAGCTACATCCTGAGCCCTTTCTGCTTCAAGAGGTTTTTTGTTGTTGTTTTGTTTTGGTTTGGATTTTTTTGAGGCAGGTTTTCATTAAATTACTAAGTTGCCTAAGCTAGGTTCAAACTTGCAATCCTTCTGCCTCGGCCTCCCAGAGTGCTTGGATGACAGGCCTGTGCTAACGTGACAGTTTGGTTTGCTCTTAAAGCTGAAAAAATAAACCCAAATTTCCGTGTTCAGCCTCTACACACACCTTCTCTCCCCTTTTCCTCCTTGCTTCCCTTCCCTTCCCTTTTCCTCTCCTCTGCTCTTCTTCCCTCTCCTCTCCTTTACCTTCATCCCCCCTCCCCTCTTTTTTCTCTCTCTTTTTTGTTTTTATTTTTGCTAAATACTTTCTTCTTTTCTCCTGACTCATGATCTGGAACTTCTAGAAATTCCTTCTAATTTCTGTTAATGTTAAACCATAAATATCAGAAGTAGAACCCAAATGAAGCAATACTGAGATGACAAAAGTATGTTCACTCTATTTTAAGGGCTCAAGCTTTGAAAACTATTTCCCTTTCTTTTGTCCTATCACAAAGAAAGGAACACTGCTTACCCAAGCAAATCACTCCAACATCTTCAGAATGACCGCAGTTATGCTGTCCCCATCCTTTGTGTTTGCAGGACCACAGAGCTGACTCGTTCCCGTGGCACTCAACATCATCAAGCCAGATCGGTCCAGAACCTGTTCCAAATTTTGCTGAACCAGAGAAACCAATAGCACCTCCACATCCAAGTTGGTTACAAACCACAGAAGCATCATCCATGTAGAAGTGATCATCACACACTGTTCCCCACTGTCCTTGGAATTTGACCTCTAATCTTCCAGAACACCTTCCACGCCCATTCACCAGCCTCATCTCCAATTCAGATCCATCTAGAACAAAGTCCAGAGTTAAAGATTCATAAGTGATTTTACAAAGTGTGTTTTCTCAGGATGCTCAAAATTTCATGCTTTTTAAAAAATTATGCAGGAGTTTGGAAGTTGCCCTATTCCACAGATTAGAGAATTTTAACCTATTAGAATTGAGATAAAAATTAAGACTTTCCTTTACATTTGTATACCAAGGAAAATGTTACACGTATTAAAGGCTTTAAACTTTCTATTCTATTGTCTTTATTTCCATTACTAGGAGAGGTTAGCACTTTTTTACATAAAAATAGACAAAACTGACTCAATATTTATTTAGAAAATAATTTTTATTTATAAAAGAATAAATAACTTAATTATTAAATTGACTCATAAAATTAAGTAATAAAAATGGCATGCTGGTTATTGGTCAAACATTTAAAATCCTTATTTTTACCTTTCTTTCTGATAAGCAGTTCAGAGTATAAATAATTGATATTGAATTTGAAATTAGAAAGTACAAAAAAGCAAATGTAAAAATGTATCCAGTAAATTGGATTAATAGTTTGCAAGAACATGCTGTGGAATGAAAATTCTTAAAACTTGAAAGAAAAAATAATCAAATTAGTTTATTTCATCTCATTGTCAATTGAATCAAAGCATTTTTATCCCTCTGCAAAGCACCTAGTACCATTGTTAGCAAAAAGCAGCTTTGTTCATAGGGAGATTTCTTTCTGCATGTTACCTCTCAGATTTTCCTAGAGCACTAAAATATATGGAAAAATATATATTTCTTGAAATATAACTTATTTTTACAAACTGTGAAGTCCAGTCAAAGGCCTCCACTTAACAAGATTTATTTCTATTATGAGTAATTAACAATAATTACAAATAAGAACAACAAATATGCACATTCTCTTCTAAGTATATTGCCTACCATCTTTTTTTCCTTACAACTTTATATGCTATTATTATTAGTTCCACCTCACAGGTAGGAAGGTTGAGGTTAAATAATTGGCACAGAGTCAAACATCCAGAAAATGGTAGAGCTCAGATGTCAGGGGTGGATATAGCATCACAGATTATTCTCTGGACTATTGTGATATATGGCCTCAGGGTCTGCACTAATGAGATGGAAGATCTGAAATTTGAGTATTAATTAGGGTCAAGAAGTTCAGAAATGTGGACACTGCAATTCAATAAAACTAGTATATCCTTAAATAACTATAGGCTTTTTCTACTATGAGACTCCAGTTGTAGTTGTAGGTATATAATCTTCAGAAAGCAAATTTGATGAACTCTATCATTAGTTACGCAAAAATAAAAGCTGAAGTACTATCTTAGCTAATTCGCAGTTCTGTACACAACAGTAGTTGTCAGAAGGGCTTATTAAAGTGCATTATGGTACTAAGCCTTACATGGTTATTCTGTACCTTTTAATGATTAATAATAAGTAAAAGGAGAAGGGGGAGAAGGAAGACAAGGAAGAGGTAGAGGATGAGTGAAGAAGGAGGAGGAGAAGGATCTGGAGGAGAGGAAGGAGGAGAAGGAGGGAAGAGGGAGTAGGAGGAGGAAAGCATGAATATGAATGAACAAAAAGAGACCTGAGTAATCAAGGTAATGAATGGCAGAAAGCATGAAGAAACTAACATTTCCACCATCTATGCATACTGAACAGATTGCCAGTCATCCTACACGTATTATATAATTCCGTTCTCACTGAAGAGTAAAGAGATTTAACAACTTTTTGTGCAATCGTAGCACTATGAATAGCTGTGCTAGGTACTGAGTCAGCCTTTCTCTAGATGATAGCTAGCACTGTTTCACTCCAGTGCAAGTGATCAGCTCCTTTTGCAGAGGATCCTTCAGGGGAGATGACTCTAGAAAAGACTGAGCAGGAGAGAAGATTGCATGAAAGTGAAAATGAGCAGGGAGAAATGGGGATTGCAGGGATCAGGTCTGGGTCAGAAATGTGAGATTTTCTAGCAGGAAGAAGTAACACATAGTTTTCTGGGTTACTGATAGATCACCTGAGATAAAAATTATTTTTAAAAAACTTTTATAAATTAAAAACCAATGCAAATGCAATGAATAATATTAGACACTGAGAAAAGCAATTATACTGTGAAAACACCCTTTCTCCAATAAGGTGGGATTAATATTAGTGCTGGAAATATTTATTTCTTTTTTAAGTAGTCAGCTTTTTATATAAAATGTAGTGATCTATGAATCAAGTCCATCATTTCAATATCTCACTTGGAAAGGGGGCCAGGATGAACTTTGAAATCATGATATTTGGATGTTACTCTACAATTACTGAATACAGAATTGGTACCAGTCACTTTCTCACTGATCTTGGTGCCTAGAGTCTCATTTTTTTCTTTTTAGATTGGGGTTTTCTCATATATTTCTCCAAACAGTGGATTTGATAATTTTATGGATAGACTACATCAATTCCATAAAAGTGGCTCATTTTACTTCTCCAGCCATCTATACATTTTTCCACCATGCATTTTATAATGTTTATGAAATGTTTAAGGAAAATAGGGAGCCCAAGAATCTGACTTGAGTCGGAAATATGCCCTTCTAATTTGCTTTGGTTTACGCAAGTCTTACCCGAGCAGGTTACTCCAGCATCTTGTTGGTGAGTGCAATTAGCCTTTCCCCATCCACTGTGGGTGCAGTCCCAAAGAGCAGATTCATTCCCTCTACAAGAAACATGATCCATCCAAATACGTCCAGATCCACCACTGGAATTAGTCCATCCAGTGGCCATGACAAGAGTTGGACATCCCAGCTGATTGCAAATCACAGCCACTTCCTCCATGCCCCAGCCATGACTGCATACTGTGCCCCACTCTTCCTGCACTCTCAGTTCCACTCTGCCACTGCACTTGTTTTCACCATCCGCCAGCCTCAGCTCCTTTTCAGTTCCTCCTGCAACAGTGAATTAAGTCAACAACTGGTCAAGGTCACAAAGAGCCAGTGTGGAATTAAATTTCTTTATGTTACTTATTTATCCTTCAAAGTCAGATTTCAGAATCACCCTGGTTTCATCCATGGTGTAAAGAAAGAATGCTATTTCATGGGCATTCAGATATAACCCTTCAATCTCATAGGCTTGAAATAAACCAATGCCATAAAACCAGGAAAGCTAAGTAACATGATACTGCATAATATATTATTTGATCATTGAATTTTCTTAATAATGGCAATTTATATGATCAGCATGGGGAGTTTACTAGTTAAATAAAATTCTATAGACTTTTATAGCAGTGAGCTACATATGAGTCTCTTAAATCCTAAAATCATTTAAAAGAAACTGACAATGGAATTATAGAGATAAAACCAGTTATAAGGAATTAAATATTCACTTCACAAATATGGGTAAAATAGCACTGAAAAATAATACTAGGAATCTGACCAAAACTAATAGACTTAAATGGAAATTAAGATGGAGAAATTCTCTTATTTTTTCTCTACTATAAATAAACTCCTCTCCCATTGCCCTTCTCTAAATGATCTCAGTTGCCTTCTTACCAGTATATGAGCACAATTTAGGAAACTGGTTTTCCATTCAATCTGCCTTTTTTCAAGCCATTCTTAGATAAATGTTGGCATTTGGATTTATTAAAGTGTTCCTAAAATTCTATTTTTATGCCAATAATTCCAAATTTTCTTTTCCTGAGTGTCTTTCTTATTTTTTCAGCTAAACTTTTTTTCCAAGCTTTAAGTTACATGGCTACTTTTCCTGTGAGTTTATTTTAATGAGAAAGAGAACCAGGCAAATATTTGGAGTCACAAAATTTGGTTGTTACTGTGTGTTTTTAATATTTGATACTTCAAACCCATGGAGCATAACTTTTAGAAGATATTCAGTATACGAAAAATTATTTATTTAACAATTCTTGTGAAGATGGGCTAAGACAAAGTGAACTGACAAACTACTCACCAAGAGAACCGGTTATGAAAGACACACTGAGAAGTGAGATCACAGCAACAGTGAAGGGACTCAAGTGGACTAAATGTCTTCTGAAATCTGTTAAAGAAAGAAAGAAGGCAAAGCTAGAGCCTTCCCAAATAGAGATTTGGGGACAAAAACAACCAGATGATAGCAGACGTTTGGAGTTAACAAAAAACATCAAACCAAGAAAGAAACCTCTTCCTTCCAAATGGAAAACAGGAGAAATTCACACTCAATATAATATACCTCAGTGAAATCACTCTCAAAATGTTTCTATAAGAAGGCAACCTAAGGTTATGGAACTAGAAAAAAGTTGGGGGTTGAATAAGTATTGCAAAGGCAAATCTTAAACCTGGAAAACTGAAAAAGGTATCAATACACAGGTATCCCTGAAGGCACAAGACAAGTTTCCTGAGATTTCTACATTCTCTTACCTCCTCAATATTCAATTATTGATATCCCCACCTCTATATTTACCTAATCCACACTGTTAGACAGAAAGTTGCATGAGGGACTAGATTATATCTACTGGGTTTACTATAATTTGAACACTATGTGGCACAGTTCTTGCCAAATACATTAATATAATAAGGTGTTACTATGTATATCTGATAAATCCAAATACTGGCATTTTGTCATCTGTAGCTATAACATAAAACATTCTAGTATTTCTGCTATTCTCATTTTTCTTTAATACTCTGACCCAACACTAATTTAAAAGTAAAAATGGTAAATAACTTTAAATAAATGTCCATATAAATCATGAAATGGATTTCAACACTGAAGAGTTATAATGAATTTCTTCTAAGTAATTCAGTTGTCTTCTAAGTAATTACCTTCAAGTCAATTGTCATTCCTTCATACTCTATCTCTTCTAACAACACTTGTTTATAGACTAAATATAATTCAGTTTAAACTTCAGTTCCTGACAAGCTCACCTCAGCAGTTTTATAAATCCAGGCCAATTCTTGTTCCTTTCTCACACCTTTTGTTTTGAATCTGTGACAGACCAAAATCAGTGCCATCAACCCTACATGTTCTTTTTCCATTCTTACTCTCCTGGACTGTCAGAATAATTCTAATGGGGAAAACCAGGATAAATGAAATATTTTACCAGCAGATCCAGAGTCTTCAAGAAATATTATTCTCAGCTTGTCCATTCCAAAATTTTATAATTTCAATAATTTCTAAGTCTCCTTGTATTATTCTTCCAAAGAAATGTTGTCTTAAAGAAGTGGAAGACTAAGAATTCAGAAGAATCATCTTACTTGTATAAAAGAAAAGTCTACAGAGTGGAGGTGGAGTCAACCCAAAAGGAGAAGTCACTGAAAGCGCTGATTCCTTTCATATTTTTGTTTTTTCTATATAGCAAACAAAAGTACCAAAGGAAATTGAGAAACACTATCCACAGATTTATTAAAAATAGGGGGAAGTGTTCATTCATGTACCATTGTTAATTAATTAGTTTTAAATTTTGAACTTTGTTTTGGATTAATATATGGGATGCACAAGAGATAGCAATTGTGTAAACTGTAAAAAGCTAATGTAAAATAGGCAAAAATGTAAAAAACAAAAGTTTATCATTATATTCACTATTAATATTTTCCTTATAATTAAATATATATTTAATATATTTAGTGAATACACTGTGTAGGTTGAATGTAGCCTGTAATTGTATTATTTTTCTTATGGATAGACCACATCAATAGAATTTGCCATGAGTGTGATTCCACGATAGTGGAACAAAATTAATGGAACATGGTTTTCACTCTAAATAACCAGAAGATATGCCTAAAGATGTTAGTTTTGCTGTTAATGCTGAAGCAGTCCTGTGAGACAATTCCAATCCATCTAAATTGTGACTAAGGAAGTACTGTCATACCAGGGATCCACCTGGGGATACTGCAGGACCCTCCTAAGTGACATGGGAAAAGCCACACCTATGTCCCTAATAATAGGCCTACCATGTACAGAACCTAAAGCACTTAAGCTAGTTCAGCTTTCAAACCATGGTCCTACAAAAATCCAGCCACTGAAGGACTAAACAAGATTGTTTCTGCCAAAGTTCCTGGTAACAGGCCCACCAATGACAGACCCCATGGTGGACCCAGAAACAGTCACAGGAGCCACCACCAACCCATTTAAGCTCCATCTCAGAGGTAATTCTGTCAGCCTGGTATCCTAACAGAAGAAAATCTTCACTTGCAAGAGCAGTCAGTAAAGACTGGAAGAGAGGTTTGTTCTTTCAAAAGCAAGGACACCAGTGCAAGCCTATATAGATCAAAAGAATTTGGTGCATGTGATACCACCAAGAAATTAATGAAGCCCTAGGAACTGGAGACCTATTAATTGTGTGAAAAAGAATTTAAAACAATCACCTTAAACTCAATAAGACACAACAAAAAATTCAGGAACACAATTAAGTAAAATAAAGACAAATAGGTTCAGAACTACATGGTAACTAGTTAATGTGTTGTATACTTGAAAACTGCTAAAACAGTAGATATTAAATGTTCTCACTACCTGTCATGGTTGTGTCTAGATGTCTCCTCAAAGCTACATGAAGCAATGATTTGGGCTTCTAGAGTTTATGATTGATCCATGGTCCAATGCTGGGGTTATGGGTTTGAGAGCTACAACCGCCCTGGGAGGGGTAGTTTGCATACAATATAATGGAGGGAAAGAGGCTTGCTCTGCTCCTCCATTTTGCTCTTGATGTGTTTGCTGGTTTCCACCACCATGAACTGTTGTCCTCTGCCATGTGTCACTCTCTATCTTGGAGCCAGCCAAGTATAGAATGAAACCTCCACAAACTGTGAGCTAAATAAACCTTTCCTTCCTTAATTTTGGATGTCAGGTATTTTGTCTCAGTGATGAGAGAAAAGTAACTAAGCTGAACTAGCTTAAGTGCTTTAGGTTCTGTATATTTATTTATCAAAAAGATAAATGTTTGAAGTGATGTACATATTATATGGATTTAGTTGCTCCACAATGTATAAATATATAAAAAACACCGTGCTTATAAATACAAATTTTGTCAATTAACATAAAACAAAACTATTCCTAGCTATAAGGGAAGAACATAAAAGATAAAAGTATTGTATATACATATATGTAATATCTTAATATAAATACATACATATATTGTAATTACATTAAAACAATGCTTTATAACTTGTTCCAATTAGTACATATTTGACAGAAGTAACCAAGAGATAAGGCCTTTAGGGCATTTTTTTTGCTCTCTCTCTCTCTCTCTCTCTCTCTCTCTCTCAAACCTCTGCACTCAAGCCAAGGTAAATTTGTTTAATTATTTTCCTCTCTCTCCCTTAGAAAAGCCAAGCTGGGGAACTAAAAAACTTTCTCATGATGCTAGGAATAGTTTCCTAGTATGTCCCACCATGTTGGAGCGGGGAGAGGCACATGGCATCTGTGTTTTTCCCAGCTGGGATGAGGCCCATAGGTCCAATTCAAATTTATCTCTGCTTTTCTTTCCTATTTTCCCGATTTTCAGTCACTAATTGTAGTAAAAAGCAGCCTGAGGGCCTGTGATTAACCCAGTCACAGAATATGTGATCACTCAGGTTCCATGTGTGTGACCTAGAGTTCCGCCATGCCTTTTTGTCTTTAAAGTTCTGCTTTCTGTGATACTTTCCTAAGCTTTCTTACCCTTTTTGAAAAATTAACAATTGGTAAGTTGGTGTCCTCCTTGAGTAACCACCTCTCCCAGTTACTCATTTTTGTGCTCAAAGTCTCATCAGCACTTTTTCCCCAGATGGCCTTTAATCTCTGGGCATCCTTACTGAGTAGTTTACTCAGGTCCTTGTTTTAACCTAGTTCAATGCTACCATGTTTGGCAGCCATTTTGATTCATTTTGTGAGTTAGACAGGTTGGTCCCATGGTTCAGCCATGGTTGTTTTCCTTGGTCAATTCAAGTGGCAGTGAGTAAGAAAAGTAGAGCCATTCTTGTTCTTACAACATTTTAAGATTTTTTGAGGGTTTTGTTTTTGTTTTTGTTTTTTGGGGGTACTTGGAATCAAACTCAGGACCTTGCACTTGCTAGTCAGGCACTTGTGCCATGGAGCTATATCCTTGACCTGGTATAGAGGGAGTTGTTTTGCTTGTTTTGTTTTAAAGGTATCTATCTCTGCTGCTTTAAAGAAAGTATGTGCACATGGTTTTCAACAGGCTAAGAGACTCCCAATGAGGGCTCTATCCTGATTTAAGGGAGCCTCCAGGAGGCTCCACTCTGACCTCTTAAGAGTTTACTGTTTCTAAGGGAGCCCTGGATGAGGCTCCACCCTGATCTGCTCTGTCAAGTGGCTGAGGGAGCCTCCTGAGGGTCTTCATCTTGATCTCTTAGGAGGTTACTGTTTCTCAAATGTAGACCCCAGGTTAGGGACTCCACTGTGATTCCTTAGGATTTTCTCAGGGAATTCCTGGGAAGTCTACCCTTCTCTCTAAGGAATCAGCGCATCAGTGCACCAAGGGAAACACCCTGCAGATTCCAATTGCCTTGCTTAAGACTCTATCATTAAAAACTGGGAACAATCTGAAATGGCAAGAGGTGGGTATTGAATGTCTAAATTGCAATACTATTCTTCAGCTACAACTTTGTTTATTCTTTTGGTACCGGGAATCGAACTCAGGACCTTGCACTTGGCAGGCAGGCTCTGTGCCTCTGAGCTATACCTCCTGCCCCAGCTACAACTTTTTTTATGCAAAAGGCAAGGAAGATGGTGTGAAATCCTTTATATTCAGAATTTTATGGCTCTTTATCTCTGTAAAGATCCGAGAACCATAATACTTTAAAAGGCCTCTAAAGAAAAAAAATCATATCTTTGATGATCCTGTCCTCAGACACTTGCTTGTCTCCAGGAGATATAGTTCTCTCCCATCTTTCAACACCAGAGTCTAGCACCACAGAAAGGCTAGAACCGAAAATTTTCAAAAGACCCTGGTAGGTTTGCAGATGGGGGCCTTGGGACCCTATGACTTCATTGCTGGCCACAGACTTTTCTGTGTTCAACAGCCTTGATGTAGATGAAGATGAAACGAGAAGGGCTGAGAAAAAAAGACAGGCCAGATTTACGGCTGTCACAATTGGCAATGCTTTATACATACCCTAAGCATCAAAGGGCAAACCCAAGAACAATCAAGGAAAGAGTTTTTGTTTTAAATGTAAGAAGACTGCTAACAACTGAAATACAACAATATAGAGATAAGATTTATATGTAATGACCAAATAGAATTTATCAAGGAAATCTATTTAGGTGAAAAAAATTAACAAAATCTGGTACCCATTCTCGGTAAAACCTCTTAGAAAACCAAGCATGTAAAAGTCACCTCTAAAAGACTGAAGTTAATGTAACACTCAATACTGAAAGGTTATTTCTTAAATCCTAAAATCAAAAGCAAGACAAGAATGTCCATTCACCATTTCTACTCAATATTGCACTGGACATGTTGTCCAGTGCAATCTGATAAGAAAAAGAAATGAAAAGCAAGTATAACAAAAGGCAGAAGTAAGCTGACTTTGATGGCAGATAACATAATTCTTTGTGTAGAAAATCAGATGGCATCTACTATTTGAAGATTTCTTCAAAAAGAAAACTATTTGAACTAATCACTGAGTTGAAAAAATCTGAATGACAAGGTCAACATACAAAAAGCAAGCAACAAAATATCAAATTAATTTTTAATTGTACTTGTAATAATATCAAAACTATGTGTGATATTTAGGATAAAATTTATGAAAATTCTGTACACTCTAAGTTATCCAGTGTTGGAGAGATAAATTAAAGACTTTAATCAATGGACAGATATTACATGTTCTTGAGTTAGAAGGCTATTATTAAAAGGAATGCCCTTGAAATTAATCTAGAAACTCAGTGCAATCCAAAGTCATTATCTTACAAGGCATCTTTTATATAAAGTGGTAAATTTACTTTCAAATCTATTTACAAAGGAAAAGGATCTAAAATAGGCAAAATAAATTTGGAAAAGATGAACAAATTGGAAGATTAATACTTTTTTACTTTAAGACTTATGAAGTTAACATAATGAAAATAGGGTCATATTATCTTAAAATATGGATCTGGAGAATAGTGTAGAGCTAACAAATAGATCAATACATATAAAGACTACTTATTTTTGACACAGAAAAACATTTTCAATAAATAGCACTAAGCCAATTGATATCCATATGCTATAAAATGATAAAATGGGCCTCACTCCAAAAAGTAGATCCTAAGTTAACTAAAAAATGAATCATAGACCTAAA